CTGCACAGTGCGGAGAGAAAGTCGCGACAAATGAGGGGGAAGCGCACAGTGCAAAAAAATGGAAACTTGGTGTGCACGGTGCGAGGAAAAAAATAATAAATCATTGCACAGTGCGAAAAAATGGAAACTTGGTGTGCACAGTGCAAAGAAAAAGAATGAAATCATTGCACAGTGCGGAGGGAAAAGTCGCGACAAATGAGGGGGAAACGCACAGTGCAAAAAATTAAATTTGGTGTGCACGGTGCGAGGAAAAAATAATAAATCATTGCACAGTGCGGAGAGAAAGTCGCGACAAATGAAGGGAAAACGCACAGTGCAAAAAAATGGAAACTTGGTGTGCACGGTGCAAAGAAAAAGAATGAAATCACTGCACGGTGGGAAAAAATGAAACTTGGTCTGCACAGTGCAAACAAAAAAGAATAAAATCACCGCACAGTGCAGAGGAAAAGGAATGGAATCACCGCACAGTGCAAAAAAATGAAACTCGGTCTGCACTGTGCGAAGTAAAAGAAAAAAAACTCACTGCACAGTGCGGAAAAAATGTCGCAAAATGCAAATCGCAGAATCATTCTTGCGCAATTTTCGTTGCACAGTGCAGTGATGTCGCCAAAAGTCATTGAAGAATGCACAGTGGAGAACAAAAATTTTGTCTTCTGCACTGTGCGAAATCTACAAGAAGCTGATTTTTCGCACTGTGCAAAATTCCCAATTCGTTGCACAGTGCAGTTGAATAAACGATTTATTTTTGCACTGTGCAAAACCTGCGACAAACTGTCTTTTTGCACTGTGCAAAACCTGCGACAAACTGTCTTTTTGCACTGTGCAAAACCTGCGACAAACTGTCTTTTTGCACTGTGCAAAACCTGCGACAAACTGTCTTTTTGCACTGTGCAAAACCTGCGACAAACTGTCTTTTTGCACTGTGCAAAACCTGCGACAAACTGTCTTTTTGCACTGTGCAAAACCTGCGACAAACTGTCTTTTTGCACTGTGCAAAACCTGCGACAAACTGTCTTTTTGCACTGTGCAAAATTCTCAAATCGTTGCACAGTGCAGTCAAACCGCAAAAGAATGAGAAACGCACGGTGCAGTGGGCATGAAATTTATTTTTTCGCACAGTGCAAAGTTCTCATGTCTTGAATGTTGCTTGAATTTCGATTTTTGTCGCAAAATCAACCTTTCTCATTGCCTTTGCACGTTCCCATTCGTTGCGCAATATTGCCATCGGACATTCCTGGCGATCCACCGACCCTATCCGCCCTCCCAAACGCCCTGTTTATCCAATTACCCATGCGAAAACAGCCTCAATGCAGCGATAAGGTCACGTTAGGCTACAAGGTCGTCGTCCCTCCCAATTTTTCTTGTCATCTCCACTTACTCCACGACCCAATAACACCTGATTTTATGGGTTTCCACCGAAATTTGCATGCGGATTTGTAGCGTTAAATGTTTTAATGGAAACAGTGGCAAGAACCGGGGGCTGGCACGGAATTAAATTACGGTATATTCGGTTTTTGGCGACATATTTTGTTGTTTTTGGGACTGCACAGTGCGGAGATAAAATTATTGAAAATTTGGAGCGCACCGTGCGACGAAAAAATTAGAAGAAAATTTGGAGTGCACAGTGCGACGAAAAAATTAGTGAAAATTTTGGACTGCACCGTGCGACGAAAAAAATAGTGGAAAATTTGGGATGCACTGTGCAATCGATAAAAATAGTCCAAAATTTGGAGTGCACGGTGCGACAAAAAATTAGTGAAAATTTTGGACTGCACCGTGCGACGAAAAAGTTCAAAATTTGGAATGCACTGTGCAATCGGCAAAAAACGAAATTTTTAATTGCACAGTGCAGAAAAAATGGAAATGAGAAATCGCACGGTGCAAAAAGAATTTGATTTTTTGCTGCACAGTGCGACAAAAAAATAGTGCAATATTTGGAATGCACTGTGCAATCGGCAAAAAAAAAGAAATTATTAATTGCACAGTGCAGAAAAAAATGCAAATGAGGAATCGCACGGTGCAAAATGGACTTAATTTTTTGCTGCACGGTGCGACAAAAAAGTTCAAAATTTGGGACGCACGGTGCAATCGATAAAAAAGGAATTTTTAATTGCACAGTGCAGAAAAAAATGCAAATGAGGAATCGCACGGTGCAAAAAAATTGGATTTTTTTGTACCGTGCGACGAAAAAATAGTGCAAAATTTGGACTGCACAGTGCGACTAAAAAATTAGTGAAAATTTGAAGTGCACAGTGCGACGAAAAAAATAGTGAAAATTTGGGATGCACCATGCAATCGGTAAAAAATAAATTTATAACTGCAGAGTGCAGAAAAAAATCCAAAGGAGAAATCGCACGGTGCAAAAAATTAAATTTTTTTGCACCGTGCGACGAAAAAATAGAGCAAAATTTAGATTGCACGGTGCGGCGAAAAAATAGTGAAGTCTGAAAATCGCACGGTGCAAAAAGAATTTGATTTTTTATTGCACTGTGCGGGAGGAAAATTATTGTTGTTCTGCACTGTGCAGTGGAAAAATTAGATTAAATTTGCGATTTTACAGTGTAAAAAAATATTTTTTTTTATTTTTTCCGCACCGTGCATAAAAAAAATTCCAAAAATCAAAAAAAAATCTCAAATATTTGCATAAACTAAAATATAGCCCTAATTAGCGCCCAAATTCGCTGGGAAAGCCTACAAAATTAGGTTGAGCCCCTCGCTTTCCGGATGAATATCCACCGACTTTTTGGCAAACATTCCGAACCGCCCGGTGCTTTGGTAAACATAACCCGCCAATCGAGGTTATGTCATCCAACCTCGTTAGCGCCCGCAAATACAAAGAATTCCCCGAGATTATTGGCTATTAGAAAGCGTTTAGGGGCGAGAGATTTACGACTCAATTTTTGAGAAGATTTTTCAGAGGTTCTTGAGGGGATTTTGGGGGATAAAAATAGAGATTACAGTGGGAAAAACAACAATACTGTCTATGTATTTATGCACGGTGCAATATAAGGTTTTTTGCACGGTGCGGACCGCGACGAATAAAAATTTGAATGCACTGTGCATAATGTTCAAAATGGGTTTTGTTGTGCACGTTGGGGACTGTGACAAATGTCCATGTACTTTGCAAAAGTACTATCAGTCTGTCGGAAAAATAATGAACACTCTGTCGCAGCGAAAATCGCATCGCCGTCGAGAAAATGAATTGTATCGCGGCAAAATCAAATTTCTTCTCACGTCAGCGACGCGATTCCAGCGACGATTTTTTCACATTTCGATGGATTTTTAGCGTAATGTCCTCAGGGCAAAAAAAAAATTCCGCAAAAAAATTTGATTTTAAAAAAATTCTTTGAGGTTACTGTAACAAACTAATTTCAAAAAAATACGATAAAATTTATTATAGACTCTCTCTCTAATGGGACTGTACAGTAAATCCTTAAATTTTTCTCGTCTGCTATGAAAGCCCAGTTGAGATATTCAACGATATTTGAAAACCAGAGAGTGCGTAAAATGAGGAGAGACTTCAAATTTCCACAACTTCAATTTGGCTCTAACATATTCAAAAACTTTTTAAAGGCCCAAGAAGAGATTTGAAGTAAGAATTAATTGATTTCTTGAGCTGAAAATGCCTAAAATCCCATAAATTGCTTACAGGGGAAGTACTCCAAGTGCGACGCTCAGATTTTGATGAAACTTGGCACAAATTTAGAGTAATTTTTTCTAAGATATATGCGAAAATCCTAGCTCGCGCTTTGCAGAGACAACCGAGATTTTTAGATCAAAAGTAAAAAAAAAAAAAAAAAAAAAATTTAGGACTTTTTGCCGAATTTCGGCACGAAAAGTTTCATGCCTATTTCTACCGTAAAGGGTAATGTTGCTACAAAAAATCAAAATTTTCTGCTCGAAACTGCCAAAGTTATGGGCAAAAAGCGCTTTTCTCTCTGACCGCTCTCCACGTTGAGCGTGCTCTCTCGGCGGCAAAAATCGTTCAATATCTCAGCGACGCCGGCAAAGCGCGAGCTAAAACTTTCGGGAATTGATATTTAGTCCATACCCGACGTGTGTGCAAAATTTGAAGAAAATCTGAGCGTCGCACTTGGGGTACTTCCCCTGTAAGTAAAATATCAAAAAGTTGTCGATACTCCCCAAAAAACTTTAAATAACACATTCTCTGATCTCCAAACTTCACCAACACCCTTCATAACCCTCGAACAAGCGGCGCGACGAGCGCGCCAACTTCCAGTTTTGCGATTATTAGTAAGGGAGACCCCCACCTTCCCTAATCGAATATTTGCCCATCGTTCGAGATCCGTTCTCGCCCCCCAAGTGTTTACGGGCACTCCCCGGTGGAATGCTCTGTGCTCTGGGTAAGCCGCCCACTTGTAATCGCGACCGAAAGAGAAAACCCGAAAGTGCCATCGCACCGTGCACTTGAAATTGTTTTCGGAGGGCGAAGCCGAGTTCTGCGCGCCGCAAATCGTCGAGATTATTGAGGAAATCGAAGAGGGCTAGCGTCGATCAACATTCAACAACAAAAAATTTGATGATCGAAAATCGAAAATGACGAAATTTTGAAGGAAAAAATTTGAGACTGCACTGTGCAGAATCAAAAAAAAATCTTTTTTAAAAGATACCTAATTTACAGTGAAGCTGGACAAAAAGTAAAATCACAATTTTCTATGACATTTTTAAGATTTTTTGGCCCGCGTTTTCCAGAAATATTCGAATTTTTTTGATCGAAAAATTTTCCAAAATTAAAAAATTTTTTTCGAATTTTGGGTTAAAAAATTCACACTCTCTTCGACTTGTCGAGTAAAATTTTTTGCAAAAAATCGATTTTTCCACCAGAAATTCAAAAAATTATAGCCAAAAATACTTCATTTTTTGCACAGTGCAGTCAAAAAAATCGAAAATTTCAAAATTATTTTTATTTCAAAAATTATTTCAGACCCTCACAAATACAAAATGCATCACAAAAATACAATATATATTTCCATTTTCCTTCAAATCATCGAATCTTCGCCATTTTCCACCATTTCTTTGCTCCATCTGGTCGATCTGGCCGACGCATACACCGACTCCTCAGATTTCACTTGATTCGGCTCTCCCAATCCGCCGATTGCGTCCAGACCGGTTGTTACCGTATCCATGGGGTCGAAGAGGTTGTCCAGGACGGGATTTTTGAATCTGAGGTTCATTCCGAAGTCGTAATTTGACTCAAAATTCGCCGAAAATGAGCGTCTTTTGCTTGGGGCCTCCGAATTTTCGATTTTTTCGGCTGATCCAAGGCAGGGTTCGGACTTGCAACGGTGAACTAGAGTCTGAAATTGCATGAGTTTTAATTTTAAATCGAAATTTTTTCAAAAACTTAAAATTTTCCTTTGAGGGGAAGACTTGACCCAAAGTTGGGTCAAGTGTTCCTCTGGTTCGAAAAAGCTGAATGAAAAGTAGATAGCACTATAATGGCTCCAACCAACGTATTTTACAATAATTTTAACAGTCCAATCCTCAGGGGAACAGTTGACCCAAAATTTCAAAACGTTACATTGTTGTTCAATTTTTTCGTAAAATACAATGTACATACTTTTATGATTCATCAGAGCTTTTGGTTCTACCGAAAGCAACAGTTGACACAAAGTGTATCTATAATTTCAACAGTCCAATCCTTAGAGAAACAGTTGACCCAAAATTTCAAAATTTTACTATGTTGCTAATTTTTTTGTAAAATACGTTATTTTTTGCCTTCAAGATTCATCAGACCTTTTGATTCTACCGAAAGCAACACTTGACACAAAATGTGTCAAGTCTACCCCTCACTACAAAAACATTTAAAAAATCACAAACTTACAATTTGAGGTCGAATATTGATCGCAGGACGAAGCCACACACCCCAATTCATCCAAGCCGGAACGCACAACCAATGGAAAGCAGCGGTAATGGCGAGCAAACCAAGAGATATCTAAAACAAGGTAAATTATTGCAAAAAACCGATCACTTGTTGCGAAATACGGCTAGTCAAGGCAAATACAGGTGAGAAAAAGAGAAAATCTCACTTCAGTTCTCATTTTGGCCAAGTGTTTCGACAGCTGAAGACCTTTTCTGCCAAAAATTCCTTTGATTGAACCGGCGATTGGAGAAATCAGAGCCAAAAATATCATTGCGTGAAAAGCAAAGTAGCCAAAAATAAGCTCTAATGGGACCATTAGAGGTGGTGGGAGGAATTTACTCTAAAAATAATAAAGATTAAAAAAAATTTTTTTTTGCACTGTGCGGAACCAAAAATAGGGCAAATTTTGAAGTGCACGGTGCAAGGTAAAAAATAGGATAATTTTCGTGCTGCACGGTGCAGAATGAATGTTAGTCGAAAAATTGGATTGCACTGTGCGAAAAAAACCCAATGAATTTTTGACTGCACTGTGCAAGGCAAAAAATAGTGCAAATTTTGGACTGCACGGTGCAAGGCAAAAAGTAGTGCAAATTTTTAGCTGCACGGTGCGAGATAAAAAATTGGGTAAATTTTAGACTGCACTGTGCAAGACAAAAAATAGTGCAAATTTTGGACTGCACGGTGCAAGGCAAAAAATAGTGCAAATTTTGGACTGCACTGTGCAAGGAAAAAAATAGTGCAAATTTTTGGCTGCACGGTGCAAGGTAAAAAATGGGGTAAATTTTTGACTGCACGGTGCAAGGCAAAAAATAGTGCAAATTTTGGACTGCACTGTGCAAGGCAAAAAATAGTGCAAATTTTTGGCTGCACGGTGCAAGGTAAAAAATGGGGTAAATTTTTGACTGCACTGTGCAAGACAAAAAATAACGGAAATTTAGCACTGCACGGTGCATAATGAATGTCGCTCAAAAAACTGGATTGCACTGTGCGGAAAAAAACGATTTTTGGACTGCACTGTGCAAGGCAAAAAATAATGCAAACTTTGGACTGCACTGTGCAATATTTAAAATACTGCAAATATTAAGCTGCACGGTGCAGAATAAATATGTTAGCGTAAAAATTGGATCGCACTATGCAGAAACGAACTATGATTTTCGAACTGCACGGTGCAAGGCAAAAAATTGTGTAAATTTTGGACTGCACTGTGCAACGCAAAAAATACTACAAAGTTTGAAATGCACGGTGCGAAAAAATTTTCAAATCCCCGGTTACCGTGATTTTCATATTCTGTTCGTAAACATTGGCGATAGTAAGCCCATTTTGGCAGCGATCCTTGAGTTCCGAGAGCCAGCGGACGTAAAATGGACGACGTTTTTCCATCGATGAACAGCCAAAAAAAAATATTTTTTTAATTGTATTTTTTTCGAAAAAAATTATGCAAATTTCTCGAAAGGTATGCAAATTTTTGGGAATGTATTTCTTGGCGAAACCCGTCATTTTCATCCAGTCATAGCCGTGAATGGGTGCATCAGCCGGTCGTTTGAGTCAAGTTCAAGCCGAATCCGTTGAGCAAATGTCGCGTGTGGATTCCGAAACCATCTCTCGTTCCGAGTATGAGCTGTCATCTTCCGAGTGCTCCGTGGAAATGGGTAAGTGGGGCAATTTGGGGATTGCACAGTGCGAAAATGCGAAACTTTCGTCTGCACTGTGCGGGAGGATTGTCTTTTGTTTTTTGCACTGTGCGGTCATCGCAGAATTGCGATAGCGATTTGCACAGTGCGATAAATTTATTTTTGTCTCATCGCACAGTGCACGGAAGAGTTTGCGACATCTTCTGCTCCGCACTGTGCGGCCTAAATTTTTCTCCATTGCACAGTGCGAAAATCCGAGATCGGAGTCTGCACTGTGCGAGAGGATTGTCTTTTGTTTTTTGCACTGTGCGGCCACGACAGAATTGCGATATCGATTTGCACTGTGCGATAAATTTATTTTTGTTTCATCGCACAGTGCGACACAATTTTTGCGACGTCTTCTGCTCCGCACTGTGCGGCCTAAATTTTTCTCCATTGCACAGTGCGACACAATTTTTGCGACGTCTTCTGCTCCGCACTGTGCAAACTGTTGTCCATTGCACAGTGCGCTTCCAAAAAAATTGCGATTTGCACTGTGCGGACAAGGCAAAATTGCGACAGCGATTTGCACTGTGCGATAAATTTATTTTTGTCTCACCGCACAGTGCACGGAACAGTTTGCGACTTCTTCTGCTCCGCACTGTGCGATAAATTTCTTTTTGTTTCATTGCACAGTGCGACACAATTTTTGCGACATCTTCTGCTCCGCACTGTGCAAACGGTTGTCCATTGCACAGTGCGCTTTCGAAAAATTTGCGATTTGCACGGTGCGGAAAGTTTCCTGTTTTCTTTGCACAGTGCATTTTCTAAACTTTTTTGTCTCATCGCACAGTGCATGGAAGATTTTGCGACCCGTTTTTTATTTTTTACTGCACAGTGCAAAAAAAAGATTAAAAAAAATTTTTTGCTCATTGCACAGTGCACTTTCAAATTTACGAATTGCACTGTGCGTAAAACTTTGAAAACAAAAAATTTTGCGACTTGTTTTTCTCTGCACTGTGCAAAATAAATTATGGTCCATTGCACAGTGCGTTTTCAAACAACTTGCGATTTGCACGGTGCGGAAAAGATCTTTTTGTTTCTCTTGCACAGTGCGCATTTTTTTTCTTTCTTTTGCACAGTGCGGCACAATTTTTGTGATGTTCTCTGCCTCGCACTGTGCAAAATAAATTTTTTGTCCATTGCACAGTGCGGATTTGTCAAAATTTCCAATTGCACTGTGCAGATCGCCGGTTTTAAATTTCTTTGCACAGTGCAAAATAAATTATGGTCCATTGCACAGTGCGTTTTCAAACAACTTGCGATTTGCACGGTGCGGAAACCTCTTTTTGTTTGTTTTGCACAGTGCGACGCAATTTTTGAGACATCTTCTTCCACGCACAGTGCAAAATAAACTTCTTCCACGCACTGTGCAAAATAAATTTTTTGTCCATTGCACAGTGCGGTGTTGTCAAAATTTCCAATTGCACTGTGCAGATCGCCGGTTTTAAATTTCTTTGCACTGTGCAAGCTCAAAAATTAGTTTTCAATTACTAGAATTACAAATTTAAGCAAGGAAACCATTTAAAACCCCATTTTCAGACGATTTGGAAAACTCGATCACCGCTCGTTCCGGGGAGTTTGTGGACACGGCCGTCTCCTACCTCTCCCAATACAGTCCCACGCCGTCCGAGGTGTCGGTGGAGTTGGGCGGGCAAATCAAGGGTCTGACCGGTCCGTTGCCCGACCCCGTCCAGTTGACGGACCTGCTGCAGACCGCGGCCAGCGAGTTGAGTACGGCCGAGGATGGGGAGAGTCTGACGACTTGTGCCTCTTTCTCCGACAGTGAGAACGAATCAGAGTTGAAGACTGGAGTGGAGAGCTTTGGTGAGTTTTTGGGGGATTTGTGGGTGATTCAAGTCCCGTTGCGGCAGAACTCTCCCCTTCAGAACTCCCCCCCTTTTTGAACACTCCCCTTTTTCTGAACCCTCCCCTTTTTGGAACACTCCCCCTCATTTTGAAAATTGAATGTTTTACGATGGAACTTTTTTTCAAATTGAGAAAAACTGGGTGCGACAAGATGTCACACATAATTTTTTTTCAATTTGAAAAAAAAAAATTTCGTCGTATAACATGTCACACCTCATTTTTTCAATTTGAAAAAAAATCATCGTATAAGATGTCACACATATTTTTTCAATTTGAAAGAATTTTCATCGTATAACATGTCACACCTCATTTTTTCAATTTGAAAAAATCATCGTATAACATGTCACACCTCGTTGTTTCAATTTTCAAAATGGGGGAGTGTTCAATAAGGGGGAGAGTTCAGATTGGGGGAGAGTTCAGAAAAGCGGGGAAGGTTCAGGCTCAACCTTCAAGTCCAACAACTTTTCTGACCGATTTTGTCACTTTCTGATCTAATCCGTCTATTTAATTTAGCTCCCCATCCCTCGGATCCACGAGCTTTGATCACCGCTCCCGCCGTTTCGGCCATGTTGGAGAAGCTGGACCTGCAGACGGCCAGAGATCAGCTGGATGACTATTTGAACACTGCTACGGCGGACGTGTTGACTGGCCGAGACCAGCTGGACGACTACTTGAACACCGCTACGGCGGACGTGTTGACGGCCAGAGACCAGCTGCATGACTATTTGAACACCGCCACGGCGGATGTGTTGACTGCGCGGGGCCATTTGGACGACTATTTGAATACCGCTACGGCGGATGTGTTGACGGCCAGAGACCAGCTGCATGACTATTTGAATACGGCCACGGTGGATGTTTGCACCGGAAAATCGGAGCTGGATCTGAGCACCGAGGAAGAGCTGATGACTGCCATTGATCTGGGAGGAAGCAAAGGTCAGTTGTGGGGGATGGGGAAAATTGGGGCGAAATTAGAGGATAGCAAGTCGAGAAAATGGCAAAAAATGTGGGTTTAGTCATCAAAATGCCATCTTTTTGTAGAAATGCCGATTTTACGATTAAAAAATTTGCTTTTCTCATTGCACATGCCTTTATTTTAAAGCTAATGTCATGTTAATACTTTAGATGTGGCCACCGCCATGCAGCGCACCGATTCCTGCGAGACCGGCCTCAGCGATTTCTCCGTCTCCGACTACGATGAGGTTGAAGCCGAAACCAATGTGGAAATGGACGAGTTGTGGCCTCAGGGTAAGTGCGGACACCCTTTGAAGAAGAATACACCTTATTTTCAGCTCAAATCGGATTCCTCCAACTCCGCGACAAGATCGACACCCCCAAGCCGGAGGAATTGAATTTCAACGCCGACCCCGTCCCATATCTCTAGAAACAGCCGGTTCAGCTCATGATTCATGGAAATTTTATTAGTGATCTTTCGTAATTTGGCGTATCTTGCCAAAAATAAATGAATTATGAAGGATTTGGAGGGGTTTTTTGAAGAGGTAAAGAGTTGACACCTTGGGTCAAGTGTTCCTCTCGGTTGAAAAATAGGGCGAATTTCATCTGCAAGTTAGATGAAAATGGTGAGGAGCAGCTCGGAAACAAACATTGGAAAAATTGACTTGAAAAACTCATTTTTTCGATTTTTTCCGCGCTGCGCCCAGCCATTTTCAGCCAACTTTCAGATATGAAGTCCATTGCACAGTGCGCTTTCGAAAAATTTGCGATTTGCACGGTGCGGAAAGTTTCCTGTTTTCTTTGCACAGTGCATTTTCTAAACTTTTTTGTCTCATCGCACAGTGCATGGAAGATTTTGCGACCCGTTTTTTATTTTTTACTGCACAGTGCAAAAAAAAGATTAAAAAAAATTTTTTGCTCATTGCACAGTGCACTTTCAAATTTACGAATTGCACTGTGCGTAAAACTTTGAAAACAAAAAATTTTGCGACTTGTTTTTCTCTGCACTGTGCAAAATAAATTATGGTCCATTGCACAGTGCGTTTTCAAACAACTTGCGATTTGCACGGTGCGGAAAAGATCTTTTTGTTTCTCTTGCACAGTGCGCATTTTTTTTCTTTCTTTTGCACAGTGCGGCACAATTTTTGTGATGTTCTCTGCCTCGCACTGTGCAAAATAAATTTTTTGTCCATTGCACAGTGCGGATTTGTCAAAATTTCCAATTGCACTGTGCAGATCGCCGGTTTTAAATTTCTTTGCACAGTGCAAAATAAATTATGGTCCATTGCACAGTGCGTTTTCAAACAACTTGCGATTTGCACGGTGCGGAAACCTCTTTTTGTTTGTTTTGCACAGTGCGACGCAATTTTTGAGACATCTTCTTCCACGCACAGTGCAAAATAAACTTCTTCCACGCACTGTGCAAAATAAATTTTTTGTCCATTGCACAGTGCGGTGTTGTCAAAATTTCCAATTGCACTGTGCAGATCGCCGGTTTTAAATTTCTTTGCACTGTGCAAGCTCAAAAATTAGTTTTCAATTACTAGAATTACAAATTTAAGCAAGGAAACCATTTAAAACCCCATTTTCAGACGATTTGGAAAACTCGATCACCGCTCGTTCCGGGGAGTTTGTGGACACGGCCGTCTCCTACCTCTCCCAATACAGTCCCACGCCGTCCGAGGTGTCGGTGGAGTTGGGCGGGCAAATCAAGGGTCTGACCGGTCCGTTGCCCGACCCCGTCCAGTTGACGGACCTGCTGCAGACCGCGGCCAGCGAGTTGAGTACGGCCGAGGATGGGGAGAGTCTGACGACTTGTGCCTCTTTCTCCGACAGTGAGAACGAATCAGAGTTGAAGACTGGAGTGGAGAGCTTTGGTGAGTTTTTGGGGGATTTGTGGGTGATTCAAGTCCCGTTGCGGCAGAACTCTCCCCCTTCAGAACTCCCCCCTTTTTGAACACTCCCCTTTTTCTGAACCCTCCCCTTTTTGGAACACTCCCCCTCATTTTGAAAATTGAATGTTTTACGATGGAACTTTTTTTCAAATTGAGAAAAACTGGGTGCGACAAGATGTCACACATAATTTTTTTTTCAATTTGAAAAAAAAAAATTTCGTCGTATAACATGTCACACCTCATTTTTTCAATTTGAAAAAAAATCATCGTATAAGATGTCACACATATTTTTTCAATTTGAAAGAATTTTCATCGTATAACATGTCACACCTCATTTTTTCAATTTGAAAAAATCATCGTATAACATGTCACACCTCGTTGTTTCAATTTTCAAAATGGGGGAGTGTTCAATAAGGGGGGAGAGTTCAGATTGGGGGAGAGTTCAGAAAAGCGGGGAAGGTTCAGGCTCAACCTTCAAGTCCAACAACTTTTCTGACCGATTTTGTCACTTTCTGATCTAATCCGTCTATTTAATTTAGCTCCCCATCCCTCGGATCCACGAGCTTTGATCACCGCTCCCGCCGTTTCGGCCATGTTGGAGAAGCTGGACCTGCAGACGGCCAGAGATCAGCTGGATGACTATTTGAACACTGCTACGGCGGACGTGTTGACTGGCCGAGACCAGCTGGACGACTACTTGAACACCGCTACGGCGGACGTGTTGACGGCCAGAGACCAGCTGCATGACTATTTGAACACCGCCACGGCGGATGTGTTGACTGCGCGGGGCCATTTGGACGACTATTTGAATACCGCTACGGCGGATGTGTTGACGGCCAGAGACCAGCTGCATGACTATTTGAATACGGCCACGGTGGATGTTTGCACCGGAAAATCGGAGCTGGATCTGAGCACCGAGGAAGAGCTGATGACTGCCATTGATCTGGGAGGAAGCAAAGGTCAGTTGTGGGGGATGGGGAAAATTGGGGCGAAATTAGAGGATAGCAAGTCGAGAAAATGGCAAAAAATGTGGGTTTAGTCATCAAAATGCCATCTTTTTGTAGAAATGCCGATTTTACGATTAAAAAATTTGCTTTTCTCATTGCACATGCCTTTATTTTAAAGCTAATGTCATGTTAATACTTTAGATGTGGCCACCGCCATGCAGCGCACCGATTCCTGCGAGACCGGCCTCAGCGATTTCTCCGTCTCCGACTACGATGAGGTTGAAGCCGAAACCAATGTGGAAATGGACGAGTTGTGGCCTCAGGGTAAGTGCGGACACCCTTTGAAGAAGAATACACCTTATTTTCAGCTCAAATCGGATTCCTCCAACTCCGCGACAAGATCGACACCCCCAAGCCGGAGGAATTGAATTTCAACGCCGACCCCGTCCCATATCTCTAGAAACAGCCGGTTCAGCTCATGATTCATGGAAATTTTATTAGTGATCTTTCGTAATTTGGCGTATCTTGCCAAAAATAAATGAATTATGAAGGATTTGGAGGGGTTTTTTGAAGAGGTAAAGAGTTGACACCTTGGGTCAAGTGTTCCTCTCGGTTGAAAAATAGGGCGAATTTCATCTGCAAGTTAGATGAAAATGGTGAGGAGCAGCTCGGAAACAAACATTGGAAAAATTGACTTGAAAAACTCATTTTTTCGATTTTTTCCGCGCTGCGCCCAGCCATTTTCAGCCAACTTTCAGATATGAAGTTGGCAATTGTTTGTTTCTCCTAGAATAAGTGTAAAACAATAATTTTCAAACCAGTAACGCCCTTGGACAGCCGCTAGGCAAATTTTTTATTTTCAAAATTTGAATATTTACAGTTTTTTATGAGAAAATTTCATCCTCCAAAATTTCCATTTTCCATATTTTCTTCTCTACCGAACGGCGACTTCCGACCATGGCTCTTTCCGGAGCTTCTGGGGCTGAACTGAGTAGAGCAAGTTCAATTTTCACACTTTGAATGCAAAAATAATTTTTTAGAACACGGAAGTCCGTCATGCTGGCCGCAAACGTTTGATTCGCTGGATTCTGCGCCGAAGACCTTGCCGCGTTCTCATGATCGTCTCGGCGGTTCTGATTCTCCTCCTATCTGTTGTGGTTTTACTCGCGGTCGCAACGAAACGCGGCTACACCTATACCAAGTACATCTACGACCTCGAGGGCGTGTTTGCGGCGGAGAAAATGGATAGGTCCACGGGATTTGTGCATGAGGAGTTTTGTTTGTACGAGCCAGCGCCTAAAGAAAATGTGGTAAGTTCTGGGCACCAATTTTTGGACAAGTGTAACACTTGACACATAACAGTTGACACTGAGTCAAGTGTTGCTCTCAATAAAATAAGGCCGGAATTTTAATTCTGATCACTGATAACTGTTTTACCGCTCGATTTTTACTGTTTTTTTAAGCCACAGTCGTATAAGGAGAAGACTTGACCAAAATGGGTCAAGTGTTCCGCTGAATTCCCAAATTCCTAAATATCGGTCCTAAGTTGGCAAAATTTGAAGCAACGGTCAATTTAGAGGTGTCTCGAATGCATCTTTACATTACTTCAATTGCAGGAATTCTGTAACGGCGGTTGTGGCAATCTCTCATTGATCTTCCGAACTCACTTCTTGCGTAAAGACGTCTCTCAACCGATCCTCTGCAATCCAAGGTTGGAAACTGTGAGTTCTGACTTTTAGAAAATATTTGACATATTGGATAGCTTTTTTTCTTGATAGGGAAACAGTTGACTCAACTGAGAAAGACTTGTCTCATTAGAGGCAGACTTGACCCAACTGAGAAAGACTTGCCTCATTAGAGATAGACTTGTCTCAATGGAACAGGTCTCTCGCAAAATACACACCAGATCTAAGAAAGAAAAACTTGACGCGAAGGAGTAAACTTGACCCATTTTATTTTTAGCACGAATGCTATGTTAGCATTGGCGGAGGCTGCATCAACCGCACTGTGAAATTAAACCGCGAACAAGCCTGTGGGTCGGGCCCTCGTCCACTTTGGGAAGATTACGTGAATGGAATGGTTACCGTTGATAGAAACTTAACTCCGATTATTACAAACGAAAACTTGAAGAAATACGCGAATAAAACAGTCCTAGCACATCAACTTGTTGCTCGATGTCCAGTGTAAGTCGAATTCCATCAATTGCTCTTATGATTTTCACAGAGGATAACAGTTGACACATTTGGGTCAAGTGTTACTCTGATATCAAAAAGACTTGAAATCATATGTGGATGTGTTTTCAGATGCACGAGGAGATTCCAGCCGTTCAAATTGAGTGCGGATGGCGATTGCATGATGAAATTCCACAAATCGCAACCAGGCTTCCCCGAACAATACAACACTTGTGGTCCACCCAAAAGAGACAAATCCAGAGCCACGAAAGGACGCGGAAGAAACGCCAATAAGCACAATTTTTGTCCTCTTATCGAGTGAATGTGTTTTGAAATTATTGAAAACGAGTGTTGATTGTGTATACGAAGAGTAAACAAGATTCGTTTGCATTTTTTGGGATTTTGGGCAATTTTTGGGAGAATAGAAATTTCTCGAAGATCAAGCGTGATAACTAGAAGCAATTTAGCGATGTAATAGCCTACTAAGCTTAGTATCAACTCATAAAGAATCAAGACCTAGGGTGACATGAAGAGAGAAATATCAGCCAACCTTGTACTAGACCATCAGATCCCAAGAAAAGACAAAAGTAGCGCGTCAACCGGTCGAAAAAAATCTCAACAACCAACCATCAGCTAAAATAAGAGGCCAGGTACATGATATTCAAAAGTTTTGAGCTTATTTATATTTACGACCAAAATATCGACCATTTTTCAAAAGGCGTTGAAAAACGATGACTTTCAAAAATATCTTCGGTATCTTGTTATTTTGAGTCCAAACTGAACTTGACTTAATCAATTAACCAATGCATAGTGAATGTGCCCGCATTTTACATTACTTGCACCTAATTTTTTCTTACGATACACTGTTCTCTGATCATTTGTCTGCAAACGCCCTTTAAATTTGGCAACTCTTCCAAAGATGCTCGAAAAACGGTTAGGAGAAGCCATAACGCCGAATTTTTAAACACCGTCGTATGCATTTCCGAGCACTGCTATTTGAAGACGTCGTAAATCCAAAGTCCAACATTAGCGGCCGTTCCGCGAAAATTTGTTTTCGCCGCATGTCATGGTGAAGATAAATTGAGACCCCGTGGTAAATTTGGAAGGCTTATGAGGACAATTCTGACCGTGACTGAGATATGACGTCATCAGAAGAATTTTAAATTAAAATTTGGTCTGGTTAAAAATTGGCTAAATTTTAGGATTTTTGGGGTATTTTTTGAAACTACTTCACCGTAATATGATTGATAAATTGTCAAAAAACATCAATGCATTCGGGAAGTACCAAAAAAATGTGGCAAAATACCTCCCTCCCCGAGTGAAAAAACTCCGATTTCAAAAGCGGGCCGATTTTTTTTGGGAAATGGCGCGCCATTCAAAACGGAGTTTTTTCTGTTGGAGAGGGAGGCATTTTGCTACATTTTTTTATATTTTCCGGATGCAAAATGGTACGTTTTTTGTTACTGGATCAGGTCCGTCACTGTAAGCCAATGTCTGTAAAGTGGTCAGTAGTAATTTTACAGCTATATTTTTCTTCATACTCTCGATTTTCAGAATGAAAATACCAGAAATTGGGGGAAAAATTCAAATCTTTGCCTTTATTTATTTCCAGAACACTCGAAAATTGCCCTGAGGGATCTAAAGAAAGATCCCATTCATTTCCCAGACCTTGCATGTACTTTTCCAATAACCAAGTTACTCGTTTATTGTTTTCAAATTTCTTTTTTTCCCCGAAATTTGGTTTTGAATGGCATAATAATAACAAACTAATTTGATTACGTTTGTTTTTAGTAATTTCAAACTCCTAAGCGTAGGAAAACAACCTCTTTTCTAAACTGTAAATTGGTTTAGAGCGCAGCTGTATATAAACTTTAATGACCGTCCAAATTTAGCCCACGGAATTGGACGAAAAATGTCGCAAAATACGTTTCAGAGGGAAATAAAAGTGCAATGAGCAATTTGGGTTAAATTTGGCATCCTGCTTTCCATTTTGCGTACAATATTCATGTGAAAAATCTTGTTTTTTCACGAGAAATCCGTAAAGATCTCGTCGAAGAGCATTTTGCTCTAACCGCTCTCCTGATTTTCCGTACTCTCTCGTCTGAAAAGATCGTTGAATATCTCGGTTATGTTGGTAAAGCGCGAGCTAAAATTTTCAAGAATTGATGTGTGGAATAGACAGAATGTGAATGGCAAATTTGAAGAAAATCTGAGTGATGCACTTTCAGATTTTCCTCAAATTTTTCATGCATGCCCTGTCTATTCCACACATCAATTCTTGAAAATTTTAGCTCGCGCTTTGCCAACACAGCCGAGATATTCAACGATCTTTGCAAACGAGAGAGTACGGAAAACTAGGAGACCGTTAGAGAAAAATAATTTCAGTGAACACTAAAATTTGTGTTGAAAATTCTTCCAGAACTCTCAAATTCATTCCCAAAAACGTTACAGTACCCTGCGACTTATATTCCTCTTCTCCGCCCACATTTATCACCCAATGCGTATTTTGGGCGTTTGGTGACGCATTCCCGCAGACTCCACCTCGTTTCCCTTCACGTCGTAAACTCTGGAAAACGATATATCCGTTTTGCAGTCGGAAGAGAGACCAACCCAAACCCCCGTAATCAGTTAAAGAAAGGGCCATGGATTTCCGTTCGCTGCTCGCCGCCCTTCTCGGCGTTTTCGGCATGTTCAGCCTGGCGCAGGTAAGAGGGGAGTTCATGTAGCGCGGAGACTTTACATAACGAGTCTTTCGGCCACAAGGTTCGTTATCCACAAATTTCCATCGGTTAGATTTTTTTGGGAAGTGTTCAAAGTGCTTTTTTATCAACTTTTGTCCACATTTTCAGTCTTGGCCACATATCAATTCCTTAAAGTTATTTTTTTGAGAAGCAGCTTGAGTTTAGATACAATCTTTTGACAGACAAGTGCTCAGACATTCATTTCCAGAAATTTCCATCGATTAGATTTTTTGGGAAGTGTTCAAAATTCGAAGCCCGGCTTTTTTTCAAATTTTGCCCACATGTTTCATCTAGGCCACATATAAATTCTTTAAAATTTTAGCTCGCGCTTGGCAGACACAGCCGAGATATTCAACGCCTTCTTGAAGTTTTGGTAGACTTTTTGACAGGCAAGTGCTCAGATTGCGACGTTCCTATTCTCTTCAAATTTTGCCCGCATATTCTGATAGGACCTCATTTCAATTCCTCAAAATTTTACCTCGCGTTCTTCGGCTACATCTGAAATATTCACCAATTTTTGCGGAAATGAGATTGTCGAAAATGAAGAGGGTGGTCAGAGAGAAAATAAAAAAACGTGTGTCGGCCATATCTTTGTGAATCTTGGGCGGAAAGCAACATTTATCCGCGCAAAATTCACAAAGATAAGGACGAAATCTTTTTTATTTTCTCTCTGTCCATCCTCCTCATTTTCAGCAATCTCTCACCTGCAAAAAATCAGTGAATATTTCAGCTGCACCCGAAGAACGCAAGGTAAAATTTTGAGGAATTGATATGAGGTCCTATCAGAATACGTGGACAAAATTTGAAGAGAATAAGAACGTTGCACTCTGAGCATTTACCTAGGTTTCAAGAAAGTAGTGGTTGAATATCTCGGCTGTCGCTGCAAAGCGCGAGCTAAAATTTTAAGGAATTGATATGTGTCCAATACTGAGAATGTAGGCAAAATTTTGAAAAAATACTGAGCCTCGAACTTTGAGCACTTCTCAAAAAATCTAATCGACGGAAATTTCTGGAAACGAATGTCTGAGCACTTGCCTGTCAAAAGATTATATCTAAATTCAAGTTATTTCTCCAAAAAATTAAACTTTCATTCTCAAATTAATTTTTAACCCATCCATGATTCAAAAGACCGACTAAAGGCCTCGTATTTTACCAACCCATTCTTTCAGTCCCTTCCGCTGGCCGAGCGGAACATGCTGGTCCTCCGTCTGGGTCCGGAGACCTACGGCCAAGTCCCACTGGATCAGATTCAAGTGGGGCGACTGGAGAAGCGTGCCGTCAAACGAGAGCGGATTCTGGACTCGCTGGGTGGAGATTATTTGATCCGAAAACGGACCGTATTTTAGACTCGGCCCTACTGTAATTTCCCGCTGACCCTCATTTTTTTGCAATTGTGTTCGAGGTAGAATGTAATAAATAAATAATATTATATTGTCAAAGGCTCACTGACATATATTTTTTAGGCGAAAAACGCTTGGGGTTACTGTAGTTTTTGCACAGTGAAGTCAAAAAATGGGGGTTTAAAATACGGCCCATTTTTTGTGGAAATTTGAAAAATCCCAATGAGCATGGCTTCTCTATGCTCTAAAGTATATGAAAAAAAAATTTTTTTTATTTCTACTACCGGTCCCTACCAAATACAAACGAATTTTCCCCATAAATTTCCCACTTTCATAACTTTTGCCCTTAGGGCATAAAACAGGAATCAGCTTGCAGGACTCTTTACCATGCCCTAAATTGTGTCTATGTCAAATTTCATTAAAAATACTTTCGATTTCCGAGAGTTATAGCCGTTTTTTGCCACCTCTCTCATGTACAATATAATATTTTGAATTTATTTACAAGAATCAACAAAAAAACTTATCAGACCTTCTCTCCACTTCATCGACAGCTCTCATGGAACGGTTTCTTCGCCGTTCTTGGATCAATGATGGGTGGTTGGAAGTCCTTGAGATGTTTTTTGCACTGGAAGCACACCTCATCGAAGGAGGTCATTTTGAAGAAATATTGTTGCATGATATGACTGATATAGTTCCTGTGGTCGGCAGTGAAGGACGCATACTGCGGTAGGACCACATTTGCCTGATGTGTCAGCCTTCGGTAGATCTCATACTTGCTTTCCACACTCAAATCGACGCGTTTTCGGTTGTCATCTTGATAAGTGTAGTCTTCGAAGGGCGCGATGATGTGGACATATTCGAATTGGCCATTGTAGACAACAAAGAGCCATTTCATCATACAGACAATGCCTTTATCACCATTCATTAGGCGGACTTCCAAAATTCCTCCGAATTTGCTCTTCTCCAGCCAATTTATCAGGATTCTCTTGTTGAATTTTTTGAAGATGTCGAATCCCTGAAGGTGCAAAATTAAAATCCTTTTTCTGTTATATTCAATTTTCAACCTCAATTCGAACTTTCGCCATTTTCCGGCCCAGAGTAACACTTGACCAAAAGTAGCATTTTGGGTCAAGTCTTACTTTCTGTTGGTAAAATACGCAGCCACCCAAAAATCGGCCTAAATAGAAAAAACAGCAAATAAAAAATCCACTTACTTCTTCAAAAAGCTGCTGGTTCCTCCAATTCACTGCATGCAATCGATTTCCATCATCTAATCTTCTTGGTTTTGATGGTGGAGCTGTCGTCTTCATGAACTCATATGCGTAGTTGAGATACTCCTAAAAAGAAACCTCTCAACCCCATGAAAATTTGATCCAACTCATTTTTACGCCAAAAAACTGAAATATCAATGCAAAATATATTGTACTAGGTCTGTCTAAACCAACATACAAAAAACGTTGACTCCGAAGTCGACGTGAGTTGCTGAGCCTTCTCATAGATCCCTTTGGTGCCAGTATCGCATAGAGATTCCATCAAAAAGTTGTTTAGCCGGTTCATTTGTTGGCTGTGATTGTGATTATCCTGGGTTAAGGCCATCAGCTTCATTGCATTTTGTTCGATGGACCTAAATTCAAAACAATGAGAAAAAGGCATGCACTTACTCATAATCACGCTCAATGGTGTCCGAAAGCTTTTTGAAACGCGATTTCACCTCGTCTACGGTGAGGTTCTCTCCAACACAATTCTTCTCCACATATTCGTTTAGTTTGAGGACAACTGTGCGGATTTTGGACAACGTTCGACGGTCTAGAAAAGGAAGAATGATCAGGCTATTTCACGTCCAGCTTATACCAAAAATTGGGAATTTATCCACCAAATTTGATGTTATACCATGTGAAAATAAAATGTTTCAGAAAATGGGAAACTCAAAAAAACAAAAGAAATATTTTCAGTAGATGATAACCGAACAAATTCGGACGTATTTTACCCATATCTCATTTGAATTTTCATTTTTCCGAGAAGAGAGACATTACTTTAGGTAGCTAAACCACAATAAGCTCAATAATACCAATTTCAAGCTTAAATCTCAGCGGAAAGTTGCAAACTAGATAGAGAAGGGACCCAAGTCAAATCTTAGAAGTTATGCTTCATGAAAAATACCTAAAAACAGAAGAAACCACTAAAAAAATCTTCAAGGCCCACCTTTTTCAAGCAGTGCGGCAAAATTGGTCCGAGGTTCGTTCGCATGTGGTGCTGCCTGGTTCTGCATGGCGCTGAGATCACTGTGAGTGCACCTAGAAAGCTGAAAGGCAACTCCGACAAAACTTTGCCGAAATTATTTTATGCTAGTGCAAAATGCCAAAGCCAAAAAGCTTCCGTCGTATAAAATGTCGCTCATCCTTTATTTTTCCGAGATTTTTTGTCGAGACAATTTTTAGAACAACTTCTTTGTTTTACACAGTTATTTTCACAGCTTTTATACAGTATTACTCATATTTTAAATCGTATTTTAGTCTTATTTCATGTCTGTTATGTATAAGATAAAAAAACTTTAATTTAGATGGTTCGTTCCCTAAATCCGCGGCATTTCCCGTCGCCATGGCCAATGTACTACTATGCAAAAGGTTTGAGGAAGATTGGACCGATGCGAGATGATAAACGACTTTGGCCTGTTAATCGATGGTTCCCCGAACTGAATCCTAAAATTCTGAAGCTCAATCCAGAACAGTTGCATGGTAAGTGTTTCTACTCGATAAATTATTTCTGGGTTTAGATAATCAGGCGGATCTATGGCTTTTCTGTTATTATTCTGAGGCATTTTCGATATTGCTTTAGTTTATGCTATCTGCTGGATGGAAAATTAGATTTCTCAAAAAATAGACTATGAAATGCTCTGAAAATTTTAGAGGTTGTTGAAGAGATACTGTGATTGCTTTCGAAATTAATTCCCCTTGGTTAAAGGTTATACCGGCGCTCGAGAGCCAGGATATAAGAATCCGGTCACCAAAGAATGGGTGCACGTCCCGGAGATGGTTCCAGAACTTATTGTTCCTGATCTCACTGGCTTTGACTTGAAGCCTTATGTTAGCTACAGGACGGACGATGAGATTGAAAAGCGGTAAGTGAGATTTTCTCTTGTTTTTCTTCGAATTTTAGGTGTTCTCTACCGATTACCCTGGTATTGATGGTCAACCTTTTCATTTTTAATTTTTTAGCGAGAAGGCGTTCCGAAAGCTGGTCAAAGAGAAAGGTAGCGAAGAGCTGGCTGATTTGTACACGGATGAAGAGCGACGATGGCCTCCACCGAAGACAACGAGCAAACTTTTGTTCGACATCTTCTACGCCGACAAAGTGCGAAAAGCATGGGAAGAAAAGAACAAAAAGAAATAAACTCAGGCAAAATTAGGTAGTCTGCGACCCATTCGTCAAATTTGTTACTGTTTTAGACTGTAAAAGATTTTTTTTGTTTAATAAATTATAAAATTTGATTTTCGTCTAAAATAATATAATTTATTTCGCAAAATTCCCTTAAAATTGATCAAGGCGGGCCTGGAGTCGTCGGCGACGGTTCAGCGGCAGTGCTGACATTGGAAGTTGGTTTGTCCATGGGGGACTTGGAAAGTTCGAGGCATTTCTCGGACAGGCAGGAGATTGGAGTGCAAGTCGAGCCGACGGAAACTAAAATTACAAAATTATTTTTCACAAGAATAGATAGTAACCTACCATCAGTCTCCTTCTTGAACTGGCTGAAGGATTCTGTGCTAATGGGATCGCTAGATGAAGGCCATTTGGACTGGGCCGCTTCAAATTTTCCAGTAGTCTGGGTGTTGTGACCTAAAGTAATATACATTTTTGGCAAAAAATACTAAAAAAAGTGGAATTAAGGTTGTGAGGGGTATGAAAGTTTACTCGTATCAACTTCAGCGACTTCAGGAAATGTTTGTCTGGTTTTGGGTCAACTCTTACTTTTTTGAGTCAAGTCTTCCTATTGGTCGAGAAATGCGCCTATCACGCCTGGATTTGTGTGTTATTATGTTTTATATTCTTCACCGTGGCTCAAATCATCCATCTTTTCTATCATTGCTTCAAAAAAGACTGATTTTTTATACTTTGATTATATTCCCCTAGGCAAAAAAATACTCTTTTTGCCTTATGAGCAGGTTGAGTGCAACTATTACTGCTTCCTTGTGTTTCACAAAGCTAAACAAGTCCTTCTGATCTTATATCACCCAGCCTACTCTGATTTTGGGTCATGTTTTCCTATTTGGGTCATGTTTTCCTTTTTGGGTCAAGTCTTTCCCTCTGTTCAAAACCGATTACCTGCGCCACTTTTTCGACTAAAATCTAACTTACTCGAATCAGCGAAGATCTTAACATGCTTTTCCTCCGATCCACTCTTCGGCAAGTCTTTGACTCCTTCCTCTTTCGACGACTTCTTATCCTTGTGCAAATTCCTCTCACAAATCGTGTTGGGATGCGACAGATGTGGCGCAACATGCACTTTTTGCTTCACATCCAGCTTGTGGAACTTTGCTCTAGCCTCTTCAGCGACCTGTGCGACAGACGGCTCCTTGGGTTTCTCGATTTTTCCCAGCGGCTCTTCCTTTATTTCCTTTTTCCATCCGGACTTTCTGGGCTCGCTGGGCAGGGAGCTAGTCATGGCCTGAAATTTCGGAGTCATTTGGGGAAAGGGAGCTGAATTTGATGAGATTTTCAGACCTACCGAGAGCTTACTGCTTTCGGAGGAGGGAAGTTTCAAACTTTCGGAACCGATGGACTTGCCGCTCTTTGCACTGGATCTCTTCTTTTTAATGGAGCTTGATTTGGTCTGGAATTGTTAGGATAGAATTTAAAATGGTTCCGGAAAAAAAAATTTTTTTGCACAGTGCAGAGATCGAAAATTTGCCAAACTGCACTGTGCAATCAAAAAAAATCTCGCAAAAAATGACTTTGCAATGACAAAAGACTGTTTTTATTGTTCAAAACGGATTTTTATGTCGCTACAGCACTGTGCAATCAAAAAAATTTTGAAAATTTTGGCTGCACAGTGCAGAAATAAAAGGTTTTCCTGACTGCACAGTGCAGTCAACAAAATCGTAAAAATTGCACAGTGCAGAGGCAAAATCTTTTTCTGCACTGTGCATGGCGAGTTTTGATGTCGCTACTGCACTGTGCAAGCAAAAAAAGTTTGAAAATTTTGACGGCACAGTGCAGAAATAAAAGTTTTTCCTGACTGCACAGTGCGGTCAACAAAATTGGAAAAATTGCACAGTGCAGAAGCAAAACTTTTTTTCTGCACTGTGCATGGCGAGTTTTGATGTCGCTACTGCACTGTGCAATCAAAAAAATTTTGAAAATTTTGGCTGCACAGTGCAGAAATAAAAGTTTCTTCTGCCTGCACAGTGCAATCAACAAAATCGGAAAAATTGCACAGTGCAGAGGAAAATTTTTTTTTGTGCACTGTGCAAGGTAAATTCTAGTATCGATACTGCACTGTGCAAGCAAAAAAATTTTGAAAATTTTGACGGCACAGTGCGTTTTGAGTCAAGCGAATTTTCGCACTGTGCGTAGACAAAAAATCTAAAATGCATTGTGATAAAGGTAAAGGAGGACTAGAAATGGTGTAAACATACCTTGCTGGACTTGCTGGATCCGACAGACTTCTTCTTTCCCTTCTTGGAGCTCTTGGACGTCTTCTTTGAGCTTTTCGACGCCTTCTTTGATTTACCCTTTTTGCCCTTCTTTCCTTTCTAAAATACGGTTGTAAACAAAAGAAAATGACGTCATCTTATACGTAAATATTCTCAGCAATCAAATTTGACATTTTGAAATCCAGAAAAACCCCAAAAAACCTCAAAAAGTATCAAAAACCTCAAAAATCCCAAAAAAATCCCGAACTGACCGGCAAAATGAAGCTAGCCACCAACTTGATGACTTTCACGGCCACCAGCAAAACGAGGACCCCGAACATGGTCGCCGCAGCGAAGTAGCTGACGTTGACCAACCTGTTCTGATCCTTTAGCCATTGCTCGCTGACCTCCATGATCACTGTCTGCAGGGCTGCTCACGAGCGACGGGTTGAATCACAATAAAATTATGGGGTTTTTAGAGGGCAATTTTTTATTCGAAAATTTGCATAATTTTGGAAAATTTTTGAAAAATAAAAAAGTTTTTTTCTGGGAAAAAATCGTTGTAAAATCATTCCATCTACCTTTGGGTATCTTCTCGTCCTCGTATTTTACTCAATAAATGCCCTTTTAAACCAAAAAGTCCCGAAAGTCATCAAATTTATTGATTTTTCAAAAAAACTCTACAAAAATCATCGAATATCATAGTTGATTACAGTAATCCTTTGTTGAATTTACAGTCCTTCCACTTGTTTGACGGTAGTCTCTCCGGGGAAGCCTAATTCAAGGTTGAGAAGGCCAACATTGTAGGTTCTTCGGGGCAGTTTTCCCAACGAAATGAACTCCTTGGGGAATTGCAGCTGAACTCGCTTGTAGCCGCTCTGAAAGTTGTTGGAATTGCTTGTAGCCACATTTATTTTAAAGAACAGGGATTATAGAATCTAATAGAGCTTACCTTCTGTTCGCATTGATGGTAGAATCTCAGATATGGGTCGATTTCGGAGTCTTCGGCCTTAAAACGGGAGGTGTCTCCTTCGATGCTGAATTTCCCATCGGCTGTCGATTTGCCTACGGCAATCACTTCTCCAAGGTCTGAAAAAACAAGGTGTCTGTTTGTTTCGTCATTCTTAGAACTGAGAGGGTTACTGTAATCGCCGAGAACTATCAGTTTTTGAGCGGGGAAAAGAGTGAGTCCAAAAAGTTCAAAAAATGTTAATTTTAGATACTGAATAGTAATATATAGGCGGGAAATTTAATTGACTGTAGTCTACAGGCCATGGTGAGTATCATGGCATATTGGGGTTACTGTATTTTAACGATTTTTTATGAGAAAAATGAGGTTTTCTAAAATTTTCCATTTGATGACATGGATAATATTTAAGGATTTTTAGCTCAGAAATGTATGTTATTGTGGTTTACATGTCATAGTAGTTGATTTTGAGTGTTAGGGTTACTGTATTTTAGCGATTTTTTGGGGGAAAAATGAGGTTTTCTATGCTAGGCTAGCTGATCTCATGGATAACATCAAAACACATTTTTACTTGGAAGATATCAACTAAATTTGATGTGGTTAGAAAAAATATGATCTAAAAGCCACCCACCTTCAGAATTGGACTTGAACAATCTGATCACCGCGTCAGCGAGCGGCTTTTTCCCGCAGCGCAGGATGCCCTCCACTTTCACGGATCTGGTCGCCACATTGTCCTGATACGTCTCCGCGGCCCCACTCAGCACCACCGCCACCAGAATAAAGCAGAACGCGCCGAGACACTTCATATTACACACCGAACTGATCGGAAATCAAGGGCCCGGCGGGTCGCTGCTTTCACGAGTAAACAGAGTCATTAGCGGCCCAAAAAAACCGCTTATCAGCGGTGCGATACAAGGCGCCGAGGGCCTTTTTTTCGCGTTTCCGTTGGGTCGGTTTGTTGATAAGGAAGTAAACAGAAAACAATCCAAGGTCGTTCACGGTCCGGTCTCGGCGTTTCGCTCAGTCGGGCCGTCGCAAGGACCGCCGGGCACCGGGCGCTGATCTTTCGTGTCTGAAGTTGCGACAGGGACTTGAGGCCCGGTGTAATGAGTATACTAAAGGTTTGTCGGGAAAATAATGAGCACTATGTAACTTTGCAGATTGTGTCGCAGAAGTGGAAAGCAATTTGATTTTACAGGGATAAAACTCATTTTTATGCGATTTTTGATGCGACAGAGTGCTCATTATTTCCCCGACAGACTGATAAGTGAGATTTTTTGATTTTTTAACAATTTTTTGACAAAAATTAAAAAAAAATTTTTTTGAAAATTTGAATTTTTCGGCTAAATAATCGATTTTTTGACCTTCTGTTGCTGGGTAGCCATTTTTTAATAAAAGATTCTGTCTTATACATGGCGTATTTTACAAAAAAACTTCGATTTTATCAAAAAATCGAATTTTAACCCCCTAAAAATCCCTTTCCAATTTTCAGCCATGCTCTCCCGCTCACTCCTCCTCCTAGCCCTCGGGCTTGCTCTGTTCAGCGGCGTTGAGGCGATGCGAAAGCAAGGAGTTGCGGTGAAAGGCCGCCTCTTGTGCGGAGCCAAGCCTTCGGAAGGGGCGAAGGTCCGCATCACCGACATTGACACAGGACCGGACCCGGACGACACCCTCGACGAAAAATTAATCGATGCAGCGACTGGGGAGTTCAAATTGACCGGCTTCACGAGAGAACTCACCGACATCGACCCGGTTTTGTACATCTGGCACAACTGCAATGATGGGGATACGGTAGGTGGGGGAGTTGAGGAAAAATTGAGTTTACTGAGAGAGTAGTGCAAGGGTTTTTGTGAAATTTGGCATGCTGTCGTTATATAGAGTCGGCATTGATCGCTAAAAATCTTGGCTCAAAATTTGCAGGCATTCCTGAGATATCAATTAATTATTGTAGATATTGATGACTAAAAATTGTAAAAAAAAGTAAAGCTTCAATTCCCTTCAAATCTTGGCCATGATATCTGGCTGGGCCATAGATAATTTCCTCAAAGTTTTAGCTTTTTCTATAAAGCGAGACCTGAGATACACCATAATCTTTGCCTACGAGAGAGCACAAGAAATGAGGAGAGACGGTCAGAGAAAAAAGTTTTTGAAGTTTTTAGCGATATCTCTGTGAATTTACAGGAGAAAAAATTGATTTTTTAGTGCTAAATTCGTGAGTGCTAGTTGAAACAGAATGCCAATTTTCGTTCAAAAAAAACGCAAAAAATTTTTTTTTGAATTTTCACTTTTTTCGATCAAAAAATCAAATTTTTTTTATAATTTGAATGACGAGGAGGTCGTATTTTACCCTAAAACCATTTTTTCAGCCATGCGAAAAGAAACTGAAATTCGTCATCCCCAAGAAGTACATCATCAGCAAGGAAGCCGAGGAGCAGAACTGGGTGGACGTCGGCGTCATCAACCTCCAGTCCACCTTCGAAAAGGAAAAGAGGGAATGCATCAACTAGAATACTCGTCTATTTACTATATGTTTTCTATGTTTACATCTTGACACTCATTCTGATTTTTTGAATTTGTAAGTAAAGAGAAATTTAGAGAGAAATCGGAAAATTTGAAATAAAAAAATTAGGAAATCAAGTAACCAAGTACCTTCAAACAATTGTACAGCTAATAAATTGAAGGTTCCGAACAAACAGTAAAAACTATGCACAACGAATCGCAAGATCTCACAGGAGAACTACTCCAAGTGCGACGCTTAGATTTTGATGAAACCTGGCACAAATTTAGAATAATTTTTTCTAAGATATATGCGAGAATCCTAGCTCGCGCTTTGCAGAAACAACCGAGATTTTTAGATCGAAAGTCGGCCAAAATTTAGGACTTTTTGCGGGATTTCGGCACGAAAAGTTTCATGCCGATTTCAACCGTAAGATAATGTTTCTGCAAAAAATTAAAATTTTCCGCACGAAACTGCCAAAGTTATGGCCAAAAAGCGCTTTTCTCCTCTCTGACCGCTCTCAACGTTTAGCGTGCTCTCTCGGCGGCAAAAATCGTTCGATATCTCGGCGGCGCCCGCAAAGCGCGAGCTAAAACTTTCAGGAATTGAGATTTAGTCCATACCCGACGTGTGTGCAAATTTTCAAGAAAATCTGAGCGTCACACTTGGAGTACTTCCCCTGTCAAAACGATTTATCAGTCTGTCGGGAAAATAATGTGAATCACCCGCGAGTTAAAATCAACCATCATGGCTTTGCGACAGCTGCGGATGAAGATTTTTTGAGCGATTGTAACAAGACGAGATCGCTGAAGTGAAAAGCAATTTGATTTTTACACAATTCATTTTCTCGGCGGCAACGCGATTTTCATTACGATGTTTTCACAAAAAAATTGGCACAAAACGAATTTTGACCCTTTCTCAGTCATATGCAAGGCCCGCAGCAACTTTACCAGTTCGTCGGGAAAATAATGAGCACTCTGCGCGTCGAAAATCGCATCGCCGAAATTAATTGTTTCGCGACAAAATCAAATTGCTTTTCACTTCAGCGACGCGATCGGCGCAGCGACATTGTGCTCATTATTTTCCCGACAGACGGATGGTAAGTGATTACAAAAAAAAATGAACCTAAAATGTGATTCATTGGCTTGTAATGACACTTTCCGCTCCATCGAAAACAATAAACCGCAAATGCGAAAAAATCGCTTGGCCGATCGGAAGGGACAATAGAAGACAGTTCGCGCCACTTTTTTTGGCCGCTTCGGAGATTAGGAAAAGGCCAAGGAACGCTTATTTTTGGGGTTTATTTTTCAGGAAAAGGCTGGAAGTTATTTTTTTGGGGGAATTATTTTTTGGATTTGTGTATACTACGTTACGCTTTATAAAGGCCTGTTTTTTGAGTAAAATACGATTTCCGAAAAACATTTGTGGGGTTTTAGAAAATTTGGGAATTTTCAGGCAGTTATATTGAAATTTTGAACATAATTTTGAACATGAACTTCGTTAAATTTATGTACATTTTTTAAAATTTTTTCGCTAAATTATTTGAAAAAAAATATATTTTAAAAATCTTGCATAAAAACAACCTGCAAAAATGCCATTTTTTCGCGAAATTATGCAGTTTTTAGGACACGGAGGGGAATTTGGGGGAAAAATCTTTTTTATCGCTCCTATTTTTCAAATTGTATTTTTTATGAAAACTAGACTTGAAAAAAATTATTTATTTTGCAATGTTTGTTATATTACGATGATTTTTTTGACGTACAAAAATACCAGTCTGTTCGTAAAGTCGCTTGTGTGATTTTTGCGACGTATATATATATGTGCGAAAACAAAATTTTTCTTTGCACCGTGCAATAGGCTTTTTTTGGGCTTTCTCTTGCATCCTGACTTTTTTTTTTGCACACTGCATTGTCGAAATCCATCCAGCGCCTTTACGAATGGGTGAGTCATAAAAAATACATTTAAAATTTCGATTTTTTCTGCAATATACGATTTAAAAATATGAGATTTACAGTACCTTTTGGAGCTGATTTTTTATAAATTTAATGTGTGATCTACTTTTTTCTTTATTACTAATGCATTAATGACATTTTTTTAATTCTCTTCGTAATTTTTTTATTGATATTCTTATTTATACTTTTTTATTACGATTTTTTCCTGTCTATTTTCGATATATTATTATGACTTGTATATATTATATATACAATTTTTTACCGTATATAATAAATAATTATAATATCTGCATTTTATATATTACCATATAATAATTTTTATAATAACTGTTGTTTTATCATGCTTTTATAACTTTTTTATATATTATAATATGTGTATCTATTTTGATTGCAATAAGTTTTAGAGCAATAATTATAAAAGTCAACTAAAGTTGACTTGTAAAAAAAGACGTTCTAAAGTGTGCAAAGGCCGTTAAGCCCCGCATTTTGCGGGAACAGAAAAGGTTTAGGCCCATTTCGACCTGTTTCCGACCTGAATCCGCAACCTTGTCTTTTGATATCTGGAATAGGCCTCAAAAGTAAAAATATTCTCCATCTTTTTTCCAAAGAATTTTGCACAATGCTTTTTCTAGAACAAAAATGTCTCCCGCCACTTTGGAGTTTCGTCCAAACGAAGTGTCGCAATTGACAAAAAAAGGTCAAATAACTCCGAAAAAAAGTATTTTTTAGTCGGAAAACCCCACAAAAAATCCATTTTGCCATTTCGTTTGAATTCAACCGACACTGGGTGGGCGAAGCGCCGAAATGGGCCGGGAGACTTCTTGGGTTGCCGTGTTGTGCGACTATTTGCATTTTCATAAAGTGCATGAATTTTTCGCCGTGAAAGAAAAAAGTCAACTGCACATTGCACTCGATTTTTCAAATCGTTGCGACGCACGCTGTTTTTTGAACTGAGGAACGAACTGTATTCAGCCGTAATGGGGTAATCCATTTTGGCCAAACGATTCCAAAAAGTTGCCTTTTGGAGAGTTTTTATTTTCTTAAAGTTTATTTGTGACGGTTACGAAAACCTGGCACAAAGAATTAAATGACGTAAATGCGAACATTCGGCATCATGATTGACGGCAACGTAAATCAACAACTGCGTTACACTCTCGGAGACAGTAGGCATCGACGTCGAATGGCTGTGAGAAGTTGTGGCGAAAAATTTTAGTGGAAATAATGGCCTATGTGGTGGTCATACAGAGAAAACTGGAGCAGCCTTGACAAACTGGACAGTCTTCGTAAGTGAAAATAACGCACGTAGAGAACTGCATGAACCAATCGCCGTAAGCATGAAAGCTCCTCGACCACCAGAAATTCGAGAAGCTGGTCGCCCGCAAGCGAACCAGGGCATGGCCTACATTGTCCTGCCTGACATCCCCAAGGACGTCCAAACCCTGGAGGCGCACACCCTTAAAAAAAGGCCTCCTGTGAGAAGAAATGGATCAAACGGATGAAGAACAAGGACTTCTAAATGCTGAGAGAAGCAGCAAGGGAGAGAGACTAAACATGCCACACTGCAATCCAGAACGGCTCATCAAATGACGCACCAAGGGAGCAAAATCTTCAAGGAGGAAGAGTAAAAGTTCTCTGTCTATAACTCCGCCAGCCTCTAAAGATAATAATATGAAAAATACTCAACGTTGACTTTTTTAAAAAATTTTTTTAGTGAAGTTGATACACAAAATTCTAAGACTTTTCGCATCAGCGGATAGTTGAAATTTTGCTTTTTGCGCGAGCTGCGCCCGGTTGAAAGTGAGATTTTTTGATCGCATTTTGGTCGTAACTTTTGACACTTTTGCAGTAGCCCTTAGCTTTTTGGTTATTGTCATCACCGAATGGGGCCCAAACTTTGCGTTTTTTCGAAATTTGCATATCTATGCCCTCCGGATATGTACCCTAAATAATGGAATTTTCGGATTTTGTTTGATTCCACCCTATTCTACGCAAAATTCTAAGACTTCTGAAGCCCACTTGCTATTTACAATTATCGACCGGTCGATAGTTATTCGCGATTTTCGGAAATTTTCATTTTTCTCCGTCAAGATGACGGAATTTCTGGATTTTGACAACGGATTCTGAATCAGCGTGCCTGAGTTGCCCTAGAACCACCTTTCGTATCTCCATGTCGTATTTCGTATTTTAGCCATTCGGGATTTTTTGAAGCTTCTGTTGTCATGTGTAATATTAAAATTTCCGTTTCTCGGAAACTAGGTCGAAATTCAAAAAAAGGGCTTCGTCTTTCGTTCCAAAATTGAATGTAGTATCTTCACACTTTTTTTCGGCCTCGGAGCTTCGGTGGGATTCTCAAAAAACTTGCATATCGTCAAATTTTTCGATTTTTTTCGAAAATTCGGCCCTGAGGGCACGGACGTCAAATTTTTCGGATTTTCGTGTGTGCCCTCTGATTCAGCATTCAAAACTACCCTACATTCGACTTTCGATTCCTAAAATACGACTGAGATACGAACGCACTGTGCGATTTTAGATTTTCGTGGATTCAAAATTTTGGCACGGTATCCTGAATATCTCGGAAACTAGAGCGAAATTCAAAAATCCGAGAAAAACCGCCCTCGGTATTTCGCCTGGCTACAATCAGGCCAAATTTCAGCTCTCTCAGTTCACGCCCTCAGGGTGAAAATCGAAAAAAAAAATTTTTTGCCGGATTTTCAAAAATTCGAAAAATCGCCCTAAGGGCGTCAAAATTCAAATTTCGTGAATCGAGACTTGGACTATCGTTATCAGCGTGAAAAACTGCACCGGATACAATTTTCGTTTCCTAAAATACGACCGTCCGGACCAAGATTGAATTTTTTTCCCCGGGGTCAGGTGTCAAGTGTAATATAAAGTCCTCATTCGCGTAATCGGGAGCGAAATTCAGAAAAGAGTTTCGCTGTGCCTTTGTATTTGCCTGGAGTAGCTCCATAACCATTTTCAGCTCCTGATGTCGTCCCGTTGACGTTGCGCCGTTGGCAAAAGGGCGATTTTTGGCATTTTTCACACAAATTCGGCCCTG